TGAGCCTCCCACTCAGGAAGCTGTTACCTCTGGCAGCTATGACACAGGTATGTGGCCAAGACCTAAGTGGATGCCCCTCACCATGACCTCGAGTCTAGAAGGGATGAGCACCGATGGAGAGACAGAGATTATTGTGGCAGTAGCAGTTGAGGCAAAAGTCCAGTAGCCCCATAGCTGGAGGATTCCACAGAATCTGTGTGTGCAGCAGAGGTTTCTCCATATTTTTCTTGGTTTGATCTTGGCTGTGTCCTTGTTTTTTCAGCATCATTGGGTTCCATTGATTTGTTGTCTAAGTCTTTTTTAAGTCTATGAGCTACTCAAGAATCTTCTAATATATTTCTTAATCAGGGAGAATTGGCTTTCTTTGATTTTAGTCTCTGACCTGTACACCAGGTGAGGACGTCAAAGCCATATGAGAGAGTTTGAGTGATGCAGCCTGGTGGTGGAAGAGACACTGGCCTAGAGATTGGGAGCCCTGGCTCCTTTATTGCATTGCCTGGCAGCTGCTGCAGTGCACATGATCTCTGGACAACAGGAGATCCAAATAGCTGAACAAAGCCCTTAGTTGGCTTGAGTACCAATCAGAATATCACCGAGAGATATTAATCCCAGAAAGGGCCATGGAGCTCATTACTTAAGTTTTCTCATTTATTGTCAGGTGACATGGCTCATGCTTGTAACCTTAGCACTCTGGGAAGCCAAAGCAGATGGATATGTTGAACTCAGGAGTGTGAGACCAATCTGATCAAGAGTGAGACCCGTATCTCTATTAAACAGAACAACTATCTAGGTGTTTTGGGGGGTACGCATAGTCCCAGATACCCAGGAGGTTGAGGCAAGAGAATTGCCTGAGCCCAAGAGATTGGGGATGCTGTGAGCTATGATGATGCCATGACACTCTACAGAGGGTGGCAGAGTGAGACTGCCTCGAAAACAAATAAAAAGTTTTCTCACTTATTAATTGCTTTGTTTGGATGAAAATAATACTGCAGTGGCATACATCATTTGAAAAAATGAGGAGGAATTCACCTATGGATCTCACTAATCAAACAATATAATGACTGTTGCCATCCTACCCTTTTCTATCACAGACTTTCTCAGCTGTAATGTCTTTTCATGTTTCTATCGTAGTTTTGGTCTCCTGTTTTCCCCATTGACAGTTTAAATTGTTGTAGGCATCCATCAGGCCTTCCTAATAGCCACAGCATATGATCCCTGCTAGTGCATGCATCACCCTGTAATTCACTATTCGCCTCTTGTGTCAGCATTGAGTTTGTTTCCAACTTTTCATTGTGAACAAAAGCACTGCAGTGCACATATTTTTGCAGAGAGCTTTTTTATTTCCCTTGGGTTATCACTTTGAAATCAGTAAGTACTAAGTGATAGGAAAAGTGTATGAAAAGGTATGTTCTTTTGTTTCCCCTAAATTGCCACTCTAAGAGGAGGTGCCACTTTGCACTGCCATCAGTGACACTCAGTGAATGGTCTCACCTGGACCTCCACAGCCCTGGAATGCTTCTATCAAGGGCATACCAATTGAGGCCTTAGGACAAGATCCTGGCACTTTGATCACAATTTGTGGCACTTACTGATGCTGTGTGTGTGCCATGCTAATTTTGGCTGAATCCTGGAAGGTGATGGATGATTCCAACTTATC